AACGGACTTCATAATATCAATTCAAACGCAACACACTAATTAAGATATTTTTTTGTTGACAATATTAATCCTATTTAATGGATGTTATGGGAAAAGATGGAGATGTGCTATGAAGAGACACTGTGTATTAGATGGAGGGCTAAAAATGGAAAAATATGAACAAAATATCAAAAACGACATTTATTTATCAATGATTTAAGCCAAAGTGACACATAATAAAAATAGGAGGGAGTATATTATTATATATTTTAGTATGACACAGGTTACTTTTGCGAGTTATATGTGTTATATTATAATAAATTTTGTACCTTATAACATATAACTACATTAAATATAAATATATTAATTGATAAATAATTTTATTTTTTCTAATTAATATTAATAAATATTTTTATTATTATTATAAAGATAAATATAATTTGTTTATTTTATATATACAATATGAATATCAAATCGAAGTTCATCAAAAGATGATTAATTTGATATATTATATATGTAAAACCGATAAGAAATACAAAAGTTATCAATTTTTAAAATATATTTGCAATTCAATGGTTATAATAAGAAATGATATTGAAATACAATTAATATAAATATTAATTTATATCCAAGTCTAACTACAAAGCATGATTTTTTGTATTTCGAAGCATGAAAGTTTGCCACGTAGGTCCAACGCATTTTGAATTTATATATAGAGGGATAAATATACAATTCAATGAGCAGGGCTGGCTTGATCCAATTGGCAATGATCTTGGAAATGAATTTTGCTAGGACAGTAGACTATTTCACCAGCTCACGAATACGGCACGTTCTGATCCCATTCATGATATATATATATATATATATATATATATTCAAATGAGAACCAAGTCCTAGCGTGAGAACCGTGAGAACCGCCATTTTTAATTGTATGTAGTGCTATGATTGATTGTATTTATTGCTATTTTTAATCAGGATGTATTTTATTAAAAATAGCAACTTAGCATTTGTAAAAATGATAGCACCATGTAAGATTAAAAATAGCATCATACACAATTAAAAATAGCATTAAATATGGTTCTCACGGTTCTCACACCAGAAAAT